AGCACACATAATCTGACCCACACTAACTTAGATAGTTGAGAAAGATTGGAGGTTAACTAAACATTTGTGAGCTCATTGAAGGCAGAGGACGTAAGATACCTTTTTCACCTTTGCTACCCTGAAGTAATATAGAACTTAGATCAGAGTTTTTAAGCCTGGGAACTATTGACATTGGGAGCCAGGGAAGTACTTATTATAGAGGGTTGCCCTGTGCATTGTGGGATATTTAGCAGTATTCTTCTTCAGTCTGAACAACCAAAAATCTCTCCAAATGTGGCCAAATATTCCCTGTGGGATAAAATTGCCTCTGGTTAAGAACCACTGATCTAAACCATACCGTGTGTTGACTTGATGTCAGGAATTGTCACATTTTTTCCTCCACCTTACATCTTTCACATCATGCAGCACTAGAAAGGAGTTCAGCAAATGTTTTTGAATAAGTGATTTAAATAAGTTGTGAATAATACTAAAATCTTTCCTCTGAGCCATTAAAAATAGGGTTTACAGCAATAATATCTATTCATGAGAGAGATGATGTGGTATATTGGCTAATGAGGCAAATTTTGGAGTCAGACTGGGTAGGTTCAAATCTATGATACACGCGTTTATATCCCAGCTCTCAGCTTCCTAGTTCAGTAACCTTGAGCAAGTCATTAAACTTTGCTGTACCTCAGTATCCTCATTATAAAATGATGATACAAATAGTACTTACCTCAACAAGACTAAGTGAAGATTACATGATAAGCTATGCAAAACACTTGGAGCAATATGCGACAAGTGTCAGTTGTTATTACATATGTGTATGTGTGCATGTGTCAGTGTACTACTATATCATGTCTATTATAGAACAAACATATACAGTCATTTTCAAGGCAACATAGGATAATAGGTATAAAGAAGTTCTGATATTTTCTTTCCCCACCCAGTGGATTATTTTGTTCGTATGCCTTGAGTGCTATGTGTTGCTCTTTGATGATTTCTGCTTTTAGGATCACGCTGAGGATAGATTTGGGATTGGCATTCCTTATGGCCAGGAAGCTGCCTACTGAAGACTCCTGTGGAGATGGACTGAGGTTTGTGATTTGGCAGAGTTAGATCCAGTGGGCCAGTTTCACATTAAGTTTTGTGTTCACTTTCTCATCTGCCACCCTCAAGTTTCTGTTTAAACAATACATCCTGGTTTTTACCTCTGCTCCATGAAATTAAGGGAAAGTTCTGTGTCCAAAATTGCACTAACGAATTTAAAAGGTAGATAGAAACAGAGGTTATTACTTAAATGTTTATCCATTCATTTGACAGACATTTACTGAGCATTTAATGTGCCAAACCCTGTTATGGAAGTTGAGAATTAGCCTGGAACAAAGCATAAAAACTTGCTGCCTTCTCAAGACTTACATTAAGATAGCAGGAAGAGCACTTTCGGAAAGGAGAACAAGGGTAGAGGCCATTAGACAGGAATATGCTTAGTATGTTGGGGAACGACCAAGAAACCACAGTGGTTGGAGCAATGGGAGCTTTTTTTTTCTTCTTCTTTTTTTTTTTTTT